AATTATTGCATTATTACTTAATTATAGGCTGTACTGCGAAAACAATGTTCTGTTCATTAAAAAAATAAAATGTATCCTTGCATAATATAAGTAAAAATAAAAAATGGACTTTCTTTACTTTGTAATCAAAATTCTGTGGAATACAGTCTTAACAATCTTAAGATTTTAATAGTAATATTAATTCTTGCTGTTGAAATAAAAATTATCACATACTTAACATGTACTATAGTAACGATTCTATTCACCGGAAAAATAAAGTGTATCCTTGCGTAACATAATCAGAAATAAAAAATAATAAACTTTCTTGACTTTACAATCGAAGTTCTTTAAAATAAAAACGTTAATATTCAACGATGGTACACGTATATCTATTGCTGGTATTCGTTGATAATGTTTAGAACAGCTATAAAACATTCCATTTCCATCTCACTTGGAACCTTTTTAAATGCTGCTTCCATAGCAACAACAAAAGGATGCATCTTCTTTTCTTTATCTGTTTCATTCGTCGTATCCTGTGTAAAGCATGCTGCCATAGACTGAATAGCAGATGAAGACTTTGCAATCATCAACTCTAGATTGGTTTCCTTATTTTTCTTTTGTTGACAAAAGGCATTTGGTGGCGGGACAGCAGTTTTACATCTCTTGGACGGAAATACTTCAGCATTTCTTTTACCATTTTCATCTAATTGTTTCTCTTCATCTTCATTTATTGTCGTATTCATAGGAACTTGAGCATTGTCCACATCATCCGATGTAAAAGATAAGGAACTGTATGTGTTACTTTCTGTGTCATGCTGGGTTAATGTTTCTTCATACACTGAATCAAGTGGAGATAATGATGGTGATGATATACAATCTTGAGAGTTTGAAGATAACCCGCTTGATGGTGTTGAAGATTTTGAAAGTTGTGAAAAAGTCATGGAACCTCGAGTTCTGTAAGAAAAATTTTGCAAATTAATATCAGTGCACGGTTTATACGTAGAAGAAAATTTACAATCTTGCTTTAGTAAATCTAAGTTTTTAAAAAATGTTTAAATTAAAAATGTAGAGCTCAGTATATTATATAATAACTGAACAGAGTAGAGAATGGTCTGAGATGCAGTTGAAGGCATTAAGTGTTTTAGTACATTATTACTTTTTCGACATCAAATGTACTTGCAATTCCTGACAAAAATGTATAATTTGAACAAATTTGCGAAAAAAAATTTTATAATGTTCACACATACTTTAAATAATACATTTTATTTAAGAATTGCAAACACGTGAGAAGTAGAAACAGCCCAGTGAGAAGTGATTCGTCGATCGATGTCGAAACGATGTCGAATCGACGTCAATTTGACGGTATCGATGTCGATTCGACATCGTTTCGACATCGATCGACGAATCATTTCTCACTGGGAGTAATAACACACCAAAACACCAATAATACACCATTCTCACATGAGAATTAGAAGAGTTTCACTTACTTTCTGTGTCCAATGTGAGGTATAAGAAAGGACATGGATGGCATTAATGCCCAAGAAGTCATTTTCACTCCACCTCCAGAGCCACTGGGTGGTTTACGTTTGGCTTCCCGCAATTTCCTTCCCAACTGGTTTCTTAGTTGGTTCCATCTATTTTCAGCTTCTTCTCCTAAAATTAATAATTTTTCAACATGTTAGGGGATCGTAATAGGCCTACTGTGTATATTAGATTATATATGTAAAACTTAACCTAACCTAACCTAAATTTAATCATTGACATTATATGTTTAAGACAGAGATAGTCAATAATTTATATAAGTGAAGATACTTGCCAGAAGTTGCACCACAACATGTACTAATGACCTTCCATGTATCCTTTTTTATGTCAACATTCTTGAAATTCTTATGTTTTTTATCATATAAGTGTGAATTGGCTTTTACAAGTCCGATCAAAGCTTCATCATCTATATTCTCTCCACCTTCATCACAATTTACTTCGTTCACATCGCACATTTTTAGAAACTGCAAACACGTTCCAAAATAATTAAAGTGTATACTAAACACTCAACGTTTGCACTGCGTTCGGAAAGAACACATTGAGCTTTACGCTTTTAATTTAAGCGTTAAGAAATGGATTTAACCATTTCTTTTCCGCCCTACGTGATCTGGCTTAAAACTTAGTTACGGCCGGACGTGACGTCACTTACGCACTAAGACTTGCGGCTTACAACACACTAAAGCAAGGTTGTGGACCAGGGGTAATAGGCCGTCCGTTATCTCGCGTAATTGCTTGCGCTCGGCGAACGCGATTCGTCTAGGCGCATACGCGTAGATGGATTTGTAAGGTACCGGGCGGTAACGCGCCTGCGCGCCGCGGCGGCACAACTGAGCGCGCGGCACGCCACCAGCGCGGTCCGAGCGGCCCCTCTTAGCGGGCGACACGTGAACGCATGCGCGGCGACGCGACGCGGAGCGAGCGCACGGGCTCCATGCGCGCGAAAAGGGACTCACTCTCCTCCGAGAAGAGATCCCGAGCGGAAGCAGAAGCAAGGAGAATCTCGAGAGTCATCTGATCGAAATTAGTCTCGCGCGCGAGTCTTGAGAATCCGTCGTCTAAGTGTCGGTGTAAAGTTGAATCTGTAAACTCATTGTAACTGTTCAATTTATTTGTTTAAATATATACATAGTTTATCAAGTGCTACGAATTAAACTGGATCTCTCGGTTCCGAACCGCCCCACCTGATTTCCTTAGTAATATCCTTACAGCTTTCAGAAGTGGGATTCCCACTCACTTCCCGCCTCAAAGAGGGCTGAGAGAACCTTCGGGCCGTATGGTAAAAACTCGCGGTAATTTAGCTATGGAGAAAGCTAAATTTGAGGCCCTCTCCCTGGAACAATTGAAGGAAGAGGCAAGTAAATACGGGTTGTCCGTTACGGGTGACCGTGACACGTTAATCCAAAACATCATGCGGCACCTTGAGAAACAGGGGCCGCATGACTTGCAACATGAGGCAGCCAAGGCTTCGGCGACCGGTAAGCCAAGGAAAGGCTCGGCAGGCTCCGCCGAGCAGGTTCCAGCGATCCTGCTGCAACAAGTTCTGCAGTCCGTTCAGGGAATGCTGGAGCAGGCTGAAAGAAAGAGGGAACAAGCTGAAAAAAGGCAGCAAGAACAGTTCGAGAGGCAGAGAGCGGCTCAACAGGAGCAATTCGAGCGGTTGATGCTGTTAGCGATGAACAGTACCAACCAGACAAGAAGAGACGAACCCCCGGAAGCCGCGCAGACGGAGTCAGCCACGACACCGATAGGCAGCCCGTTGGCGGCCCAAAGACCCGGAAGCAGTCTACCGATAGGAAGTCTGGTGAACTACCTTTCGCAGCAGATACCGGAGTTCGCTGGAGAAGAGGATGACAACATCCAAGCTTGGGCGAATCGGGTGGACAAGGTCGCCCAAGTTCACGGAGCGTCGGACGGGGCCACGCTCTTGGCAGCCTCGAGCAGGCTGACCAAATCCGCTCGTAGGTGGTACGAGCTCCAGACGGGAGCAGCCATAGAGTCCTGGGTTGGACTGCGCCTAGAGATGAAGAAATTGTTTGAGAGAAAGGTACCATTCTATAAATCCATGCAGAAAATCGAAGCCCGGAAGTGGTAGCCGGGCAAAGAGACATTTGACCGATACGCAATAGAGAAGTTGGCGCTTATCCAAGTGCTCAACTTACCGGAGGAAGATAGCATTCAGCTCCTGATTGGCGGAATCACGAACAGCGCGGTCAAGGCGACAGCGCTGTCCATGACCACAGACCCGCTAAACCGCTTCCTGGAGAGGATGAGAGTCATCGCGGAAGGGGTAGTGGACACGGAGCGGAAATCGACGCCGCCTGGAACGAGCGCTAAGCCCAAGGAGGCTCCATGCAGGAACTGCGGAGGTAAGGGCCATTTGACGAAGGACTGCCAAGCAGAGCCAAGCTGCTTTTACTGCAAAAAGAAAGGGCATCGGCGGTTCGAATGTCCGGCTCTGAAGCGGAAGCTGAGAAGCCGAGAACGTCGTCAGCAACGGCCGGGGCAGCAGCGAGCGTGATGCAGGAGCCGTCATCGGCAGACGAGGTCGTAGCGTCGGTGGAGCAGCCAGGGAACCGCCTCGAGATCACCGATCCTCTGGTAGGAGTAGAAGACATCAACGGTGAGCGATGTAACTTGCTAGCATTGGTCGATACAGGAAGCCCTGTGTCATTCGCGAAATATAGCGTTTATGAGCGGTGGATAAAACCGTTAAATTTAGAGTTAGCCCCGTATAAAAGTTGGCTTAGGAATTTAAGCGATCAAACGTTAGAGATCATAGGAACGGCGAAGGTCAAGCTGAGTTTGGAACAGATCGCGAACAAAGGACTCTCGGTAAATTTACATGTCCTCAAAGATAATATATTCGAAGGGGATATTATTTTGGGAAGAGAGTTCTTGCAGCAACAGAAACTTACCTTGATTTTCAAACCGTCGAGCCAAGGTGAGAAGGAGAGCGTTAGGTTGTTTGCCCAATTGCCCTTGTATGTCGAGTCGAAGTTTCCAGAGGCCTTAGAGGAAACACTAGAAAATAAAGTCCGCGATTTAGAATACAGAGATCGGCAACGGCTGAAGGACATAATAATAGGCGTCCACAAAACAGAGTACGTACCGGTAGAGGACGACTATGAAGTTCAGGTCCGGCTAAAAGACAACTCGACATATTCCTTCTCACCGAGGCGATTTGCTTACGCGGAACGTCTACAAATCAGGGCCATCATAGATGACTTGCTGGCTCGCGGAATCGTGAAAACTAGCACCTCCCCGTACTGTGCTAGGGTAGTGCCAGTCCGTAAGAGGAGCGGGCAAATGCGACTCTGCGTCGACTTGAGACCGCTAAACGCACGAGTCGAGCGGCAGCGATACCCGTTCCCAGTTATTGAGGAGTGCCTGGCCAGGTTAACCGACAGGTCCGTTTTCACACTCTTAGACCTAAAAGATAGTTTTCACCAAATTAGAGTACATAAAGATTCCACGAAATACTTCGCGTTCGCGACGCCGGACGGGCAGTATGTATTTAACAGACTACCTTTTGGCTTTTGCGAATCGCCCGCGGAGTTCCAGAAGCGGCTGGTGCAAATACTTAACCCGCTTCTCCGCGACGATAAGGTACTCGAGTACATGGACGACGTGTTGATAGCCTCGCGGTCGACCGAAGAGAATCTTGAAGACGTCGAAACGGTCCTTCGGACTCTGAAAAAATACGGGTTCGAACTGAACTATGAGAAATGTCAGTTCTTGAGAAAAGAAATAGAATTTCTAGGATACGTAATATCCGCGGACGGAATAACGTTAAGCCCGAGGCATACCGACGCGGTTAAAAATTTCAGGCAACCACGCACGGTATTAGAAGTGGTTAACCGAGGTATCAGAGATTCCTCGGTTAACCAATTATTTTAGGAGGTTTATTAAGGGGTACGCGCAGATTGCGAAGCCCATACAAGAGTTAGTAAAAAAGGACGTACCATTCGTTTTCGACGACCACTCTGTCGATGCGTTTCAAAGATTAAAGCGGGAGTTAACGTCACCCCCGGTGCTCCAATTATACAATCCGGCCGCGCCGACGGAATTGCATACGGATGCTTGTAGCAGAGGCTTAGGAGGAATTCCCCTGCAAAAGCAGAAAAACGGTCAGTGGTCCCCGGTAGCCTATCAGAGCCAGAGCACGAATCAAGCTGAGAACAGGTATCACAGATATGAGCTCGAAATGCTGGCAATAGTCAGGGCAATCGAGCGTTTTCATCTATACCTTTACGGGTTGGAGTTCACCGTGGTTACAGATTGTAACGCGATAATGTACGCGGTGAATAAGGCGAACCTCAACCCGCGAATAGCGAGATGGACGCTCGCTCCCCAAAATTATAGGTTCAAGTTAACTCACCGCCCAGGCAAGCGCATGTCCCATGTGGACGCCTTAAGTCGATGTACGGCTTATGTGCACGAGCTGCCTCTCGAGCGGGAGTTAGAGCTGCGGCAGCTAACGGACCCTAAAATTTTGGAGACTAGTAAAAAATTAGAAATCGGAGAAGATAAATTCGAGTTAATCAATGGCTTAGTTTATAAGAAGGACGAGAACCAGAAACGCTTCGTGGTACCAGATTCAATGATAGCCAGTTTACTAAGAGCTCACCACGACGAGATGGCTCACTGCGGAGCCGAAAAAACCATCATGGGCATCTCGAAAAATTTCTGGTTCCCGTCCATGAGAAAAGTCGTCCACGATTACGTGGGGGATTGCCTCACATGCGTGATGGCGAATAGCGCCTCGAATCGATTCGAGGGCGAGACCCAGCTCGTCCCCCTTCCCGAGGCGCCAATGGAAGTGGTGCACGTGGACCACCTCGGCCCGTTGCCCGAGTCCGCCGACGGATTCCGGCACATATTGGTGGCGGTCGACGCGTTCACTCGGTTCACGTGGCTGCATGCCGCGAAATCTACGGGATCGAAAGAAACGATTAGCTTGCTAAAAAATATATTCGATATCTTCGGCAGACCATCGGAGGTCGTGTCGGACCGAGGTACGGCATTCACGTCGCGAGATTTTAACGAATTCGCGGAAACGCAACAAATAAAGCATCGGGGCCGTAGCCGCCCCATGGGCGAACGGCATCGTAGAACGAGTAAATAGGTTTATTAAAACGTCGTTGATAAAATCCATTGTAGAACCGGCCGAATGGAAAACCCACCTCGGTAAAATACAATACATTCTAAATAATACTCATCATTCGAGCATAAAAGCAACTCCGGCGAAGCTAATGCTGGGATTCGACCAACGCAATCATTCAGACTTCGCGCTCGCGCAGCTCACCAGTGCGTTGGCGGAAGTCGAATCTGACCTGGAAAGGGAAGGAGATATTAAACGCGATTCAGCTCAAGCCGCAACGAACCTAGTAAGGGAATATAATAAAAAATATTGGGATAGCCGTCATAAAAAACCGTCGGTATACCGCGACGGCGAGTACGTGCTAATAAAAAACGACCGGAATAAACCCGGGGAAAGCGCGAAGATAAAACCCGGTTACAAGGGCCCGTATCCAATAGCGAATGTGTTAGGGCATAACCGCTACGTAGTAAAATACGTACCTGGATTCAGCCTCACTCAAAAACCCTTGAACACTATCCTATCGTCCGACCGGCTTAAGCCCTGGATCAGGATCGGCGACCCTGTACCGAAAACCGACGGAAAATAGATACGCGCTAGATTAGGAACGGAACGTAATGTAACCTGAGTCGCAAGAGAACGAAACCTCGAAAGGATGGATACGGGAC